GGATATGAGATTTTGGTCATATCGCACGGCCCTAATTTTAATTATCAATTCATTTCCACAATATTTGGTTACTTTACACGTTATTCTTTTTGGCTAAAAAACAAAACAAATGGCCAACCAAAGACATTTAATCAATTGTTGATTTTCTGTCTCCCAACAAATCGATAGATGCTCATCATTTCTAATAATGCTATAAAGAGCAGAACAGCAAACAGAAGTCTAGCAAATAAGCCCACATATACTGTGACTCAGATGCACAATTCACCACGTTTAGATGTTTCAGAGGTCGTCTGATCCTACTCGAGTTTGTTTTCACGAAGAAGAGAATATGGAAGATGGCTTTGAGCTTGGAAGCAGACTTGATGGGTGGAATTATCAACAAGAAAGCTGTAGAGCTTTACTTAACACACACTTGTAAACACTTTGGCAACACTGCTGCTTGTTAGGCTTTCTCCACATCAAAATATTTGTCTGAAGCCAGCACTGAAGAGGCAAATGCATGTGGAGGCACAGCTGTTGCATACTAAAGAGGAACTGTTTGATCCAACAAAACCTAAATCTGTGGAGTCTATAAGCCTATTAGTTGAACTGCTGGGAGGTTTTAATCACCGTCCTTTGTCTAAAGGGACCATTAACCAGAGACTGCATTACAGCTGCTGGCTATTCTTGGGAGGTCAGAGTTCAAAACACTCTCACAACGATGCACAGTGCTTTATTGACTAAGGCGGGATGGGAGAGTAAATAAATTGTTTGAAACACTGCGTTGACAAGTCTCTTCTTCCCAGTAGCTTCTAATTTAGATTAATATAGAATCTGATTATATTTATGAGCGATTACACTCTGGTGGACACATTACTCTGTTCCTTTGTGAGCTTTAATTTTGAAATAAATAAGAGTGACTAATATTGCGCTTGTGCAGAAGGAGTAATTGCAGCACGAATAAATATCCTCCATTTTTCTTTATCTTTCATGTACAGAGTGGCTTTGAGTCTACGGGGAGAATTAGCATAATGAGAGAAAAGCAGATGAGTGATGCTTCGTGGTTTGACAAAATGGCCACCGTCGGAGGCAAAGTGGAGGTGTTTTAATGTGTATTGTGAGACTTGCGTTTGACAAGTGAGATGAGATAAGCATTAAGTCCTTTGTGCCACAGTGTTTACATTTAGAAAATCTGCAGCCTTTCAGTGTAGTACTAGCTTTCATGTATCGAGAAATTCTCCATGACAAACTAGCACCATAACGTGGTGATTACTTAACTGCTAGGAAGCAAAAGACCTCGTAATGTGAAATAATATGCAATCGGGTCATTCGCCAGTGAGAACGCCAAACATTCACTGTGTATCTGAAACTGCAGTCCAACAAACTTGCACTATTGTCAACAGTGAACAGTGCTGAGATCCAAATTCAGTGACATCATATTTCTCTCGCTGACTTGTTTTCTGGGAGGCAGTCCATAACTGTTAATTCATCTTAAGCAAAAACACCCAGTTCACATCTCACCCAAACCACAAACTATGAATAACTGTCGGCCGCTGTTTGCAAAGTTGAACTGCACTGAAACAATTAAAGATGGGCAGCAAGGACTAGTTTTAAACAGGCACAGGGGCTAAATTATTTTAAGACTGTATTATTGAAAAGTGGTTCAGCTGTAAGCCATGGAGAAATGATGATGCGTTTTTGCTATTCCCAATCTTGAATGGTTCTAGCTTTCTGAAGAGAGGTGAAGGCGGCTTTCAGTGTCACATGCTGCGGGATTTTACAGCAGGAAGAAACAAAGATTTAAACTTTACTGCCAAAACAAGCAGTCTGTTGAAACACCTAGTGAATTACATCCAGGTGGATAAATGCAGTTTTCAACTGCCTACCTCATTGAATATGGGTAACTAAAATTTAAAAGGAACCATTAGCCAGCTGATTATTTGGCTAGAAGTATTTTCAGAAATTCAAATGTGAAAAGGTCAGAGTATCATTCAGCGCGTCAGCTCACTGCACACAAACAGAGGCAGATTTAACTTTTTGATTTCAAACAAAGCTCTTTCAGGTTCTCTCTGTTTAACACATCATAAATGTCTTTTATTTTCCACAAGAAGAAAAAAAAATCTAAAAACAAAACACAAACTAAACCCAAACATTACAGTAGTGGAACTGATAAAAGCAGCAGTACCGTAAATCTTAACGATACCTATAAATATCAGCTATGTAATTACACGACTACCACATCTATGGCCCTGTTGAGACCAGAAGACTAATTAACTTAGACTGAGAATAGGTCTGGTTGCCTAAACATAACAGCAGCCAATTCACTAAGGGAGAGAAGCAGCATGGAAACAACAGAAAACAACAAGAAATTATTTTTTTTGTTAATCTAACAATGAGAGCTTGCGTCACCAGCATCACATCTCCTCTCCTCACTTACCATCTTCTGCAGATGCTTCTCCTTGCGGACATCCACCATGACTAAGCCCTCTTTGACCAAGCCGAGGCCCACGTCCTCCTTGGTGTCCCCAAACTGTATTGTGACGTGTGGGCAGGTGGCACCCGAGTACTCCACATTCAACAGGCACTGGCTGTTCTGGATGTCTCGCACCACGCAGTCCACCACATCAGCACGGGCGTCCTCCTGAAGAAGCGAGAGGATTTTAAGAAAAGGTGAGGAAGGAATGGAAGGTGGTGCAAGAGGGAGACAATTGGGTAGAAATGGATGTTGGATTAAAGAGTGAAAAAATGAAAATTGAGTTGATAATAGAAGAAATGAATAAGAGGGGAGGGAGAAAGTAAAAAAAAAAAGACGAAAGAGATAATTAAGTAGGTTATCACTACTGATGGCTCACAAATGCAATCTAGAGACTGACTGAAGCAGTGTAGATGTGCACCAGCCAAACTGTAACATCATTCTGTTGGAAACAAACACTGGTAAATGGGGGGGGGGAAACCCTACTGGGCAATAATAACACCACCTCATTCATGTCAGTTATACAAATGACAGTTATCTACTCAACCAGCTGAAGAGGCTTTAGTCTGTCTGAAGCATCTACGGTTAGACTCCTATTGAACCTTCTCCTCATCTAGATCATCAGTCGTCTTCTCCTTTCTTCTTATTCCTCAGGTAGTTACCTCTTCTAATTCCTAACCTTCTCAAATGTGAAAGGCCAGCATTTGTTTGAACATATGGTAGAGAAGGAGGTGGAACAGCTGCAGATCAATCCTGACTGCACGTCCTCCAGCAATCGGGGTGGGGAAAAAAAAAAAGGAGCCACAACTTCAAAGGCAAGAAGACACTTAGAAACAAAAATCAGTCCCTGGCTATCATCCATCTCTCCCCTACTCCATCCATCTCTTCGCTTCCCTTCTTTCTCGCCCTGGTCTTGTCTCCATGGCAACCCCCTTCGAACTAGCCGCCCTTGGGTTATGTGCGTGTGTGTGAGTGAGTGCATGCGTGCACACGTGTGTGTGAGCAAGTGTGGGCAGGGAAGCTTGTTCTAGGCACAAAACTAAGGGCCTTTTTTGTCCCCGCTCTCCCCCTGGCCAACTTGTCACAGGCGCTGCAGGGAAGCTCGAGGCAACATTGAGAGAGGGGAAGAGAGGAAGAGCGAGTCAGTGTGTGTCAGAAAGTAAGAGAGTGAGGGAGATAAGAGAGACAGAGAGACAGCTGATACAGGAGGAAAGGGAAAAACGCAGAGAGAGACTACCATAGAAGAGGAATTGCGCTGACACTCGTGAAGAGACGATACAAAATTAATGAGTGCCTTTCAGTGACCCGCTCTCATCCACTGTGTGTAGAACAGACATTTCTGAAGCACTTGAGGGCAACAATGTTTGCATTTGCACCTCAGCTTACATTCGGATAACAAAACACTTCTTTTTTTAAAATGACTTGCTTTGAGCGATATTGAAATGCTATGAAGAAAATGTAATTTTTAATAAAAACAACACAAGCCAAACTTCTCAGACAAGATAATATTACATCTCGTCTCGGCACAAAACACCTTTTTTTTTCTTCTTTTTGAACTTTTCATTTTCAAGAAAACACAAAGCAAATTATGAAAAGAATAAAATAGATGTGTAGTGTCAGCAGGTGTTCTACAGTTTTGTCTAGTGACCTTTGCTTTATAATTTTGGGGCGATCGTGGCTCAAGAGTTGGGAATCGGAAGGTTGCCGGTTCGAGCCCCGGCTTGGACAGTTGACCCGGTTGTGTCCTTGGGCAAGACACTTCACCCGTTGCCTACTGGTGGTGGTCAGAGGGCCCGGTGGCGCCAGTGTCCGGCAGCCTCGCCTCTGTCAGTGCGCCCCAGGGTGGCTGTGGCTACAATGTAGCTTTCCATCACCAGTGTGTGAATGTGTGTGTGAAAGGGTGGGTGACTGGATGTGTAAAGCGCTTTGGGGTCCTTAGGGACTAGTAAAGCGCTATACAAATACAGGCCATTTACCATTTTAGCTCCCCCCCAAAAAAGAAAATGTGTATTTTTTCCACCGCTTAATTTGCACGTCTGTTAATGAGAAGAGATCGATAGCAGTCCAGTGTAAGCGATGCAATTTAGTACGTGATTGAGTAATTGGATGGAATAGTAGGCTTGTTTATAAGCCACTACCATTAGAAAGTGGCTATTTTGGTTGGAGTGCTTCTGTCTGGCATTTGTTAAAAGAAATAATTTGGGTGTTCATCTTTTCTACAAGAACAGTCTTAGCAAAAAAAGTTTTAATTAGCTGAAAAGGCAAACTAAAGAAAATGGCAAGGCAGCTGAGAGTTCATGATGCACACGAGAAAACTGGATTAATTACTGATAAATGTGTGGTAGATGCTGCTGGAGTGAGATGTCATGGAAATAACACGCTGTGCCTCTTTGCAAATAAAAACTTTAAGTTAAAAGTGTTATTCCTTCAAAACAGCAGAACAGTGAGAGTGTACCTTGGCATTTCCCCCCCTACAAAGATATTGTTGCCATATGAAAAGGCATTAGGAGGCAGGAGAATGATCTTATGCTACTGGCAGAACTGTGTTAAGAAAGATATACGACTGACAATGAACGACTCGGGATGGTGAACATCTTGTGTAAAGGTGTCAGGTTGCAGATTGCAAGACAAAGGCAGCGAGCTTTTTTCAAAAGGTGTGGTACAAAAGGGGTCGTGGGCTGTCACGTGCTGTCAGTTTGAGTGACGTAGTAAAAGGCTTCAGAAAAAACAGATGGCGAACACAAGAAAAGAGGAAAATGAAAAGAGAAATAGGAAAGAACAGATGCAGACTGACAGAGAGGGGTAAGGTGCATGTCAACCTCCAACATGTGGTTTAGCTTTGTGTGCGTATGTGTGTGTGTCTGCAGGCTGTAAGGTGTAGGTGATGCCTCTGTCCCCTGGGCTGGATCAACAGATGGGCCACTTCATCACTGACTCATGAGACAGGTGACAGCATGCACCCTGGTACCACCTGCTTGTGAACACATGCACTTTCTTCTTTCTTTTTCTTTCTTTTTAGTGAAAGCAATTCTGTTTTCACATCCAACACTATATTAGGCTTAAATATTGACGATGCCAGGGATATTAAACCGTGGGCCACGTCCAGCCCACAGTATAAACAAGTTTAACTACAAATTTAATCCCTGACACATTTTAATATATGAAAAAAAAATCAATTTCACACAACGTCTGTTTTTTAAAAATTTCTAAATGGAAAAAAAATGTTGCTTTGAGCTTTAATTGTGAGGAATAAATGTGTGACATGACAAAAAAGAATCTGTTAGCTCATTGCACAGACCGTCCTGTCATTGTATAATCTCTTTTTCTTTCTTTCTTTATTTCTGTGAACATTTTTTTTCATCATTTATCTATTATGAGGTTACTTTGGTGAGAGGTCTTCATCAGCAGGAAAAGCTCTAAAACTTTAAATTTTAGACTTATTTATAAACTTATTGTAAACTGTATTTTTATCAGATGTTCAGTGGGCCAGACTAGACTATTTGGTGGGTTGATTTTTGCCCCCGGGCCTTATGTTTGACATCCTTGTACCAATCTATCCAGTGGTTTTTAAAGGAGGTGCCGATGTGGATTTGATTGATACTCAGCTATTTGATTATGTTTCCTCACATTCACAACCCTATTAAAAATACTTTACGGTACATTTTCAAACATAATGATATCAAATTTGCAATTTGACTGTATAATGCAACAGGCTGTCTCACTGATGCACAAAACAAAACATTTCCTTCAAAGGGTTGCCATGTTTTAGAATAAATGGAGCCTCTATTGCTTACACTGTTAAGTGCATTTGATAATCTGCGATGCACTATTAAATGCAAATGCATTTAATAGTGCATCGCAGACTACAGCCTCTAAACTGACCATAAAAATGATTCCACAGCCATCCTAAACATTTAGACTCTGTTTACTGTAAATGTGTGTGATCATATTATTTTGTGAAACACGCAAATGCTCCGCACACTGAGTTAAGTGAAATCCAAATCCTGTAAACACTCGCTCAAAATGCTACCAATCGGTTGAACCCCCATGACATGCGCAAAACACAGTCACTCACACACATGCTGAGACATAAACACACACCAGTGGTCACTGGAGGTTGAGAAAACACACTCAGATGTAAACAAGAAGATTAGTGCCGTGGAGGAAAAAAAAATGCACCGGTGATCTGCTATCAGATGGACATCCAAGTATACAAACACACAAAGCAAATGGAAGGCTTTTAATCGCTCTGTAACATGAGAAAGTTCGGGCTGCTGAAGCAGCGTGTATATTGAAATCCATCCTATCAAACTGTTAATAAAACCATGTCTGGGCACCCAATTATATTCAAATCTGGTGCAAACAAGTAAATCAATGACTTGGTGTTTGTCATTGTTGTGTCTGCTTTGTACAATATGCATTATGTATGAGCATAATTTTCACTAACACTTGCCTGGAATGACAACTCAACCCCGTCTGTCAGTTGCAGACTTATCGCCCCTTGTGATAAGTGAAACTCAAACAGTTTTCATGTCTTGCCAGGAAAGTCGACTTTCAAACGCTGGCAGAAAATGAGACTGAAGAAGCCGATATCTCAAAGTTAATTTTGAAGCTTTCGGCTGCGACACATATCTCGGCTCTGCGCGCGTGCTCGTCTGTGCACTTACGTCCTGGGGGACCTGGATGAAGGCGAAGGTATACTCGGTGGCCTGTACTGGCAGGGTCCTTGTGCTGAAGGCCGGAGGTATGGGAGCCAGACGGGTGGATGACACAACTTCCCTCTGAATATGAAAGAAGGACAAAAATAACAATCAATACAAAACAGGTTCATTACAAGCTGGAGTTTGTTTTATTTCCATTTTTTAAGAAATTAGGTCAGTTACAGGATCAGTGAAGCCTCAATGGTATTTCCAAACAGTAAAGATTTTATACCTTAAACTGTTCATGAGTTTCACATTTTGAGATAGTGAACTGTTA